GCGCCACCATGCCCAGCTAATTTTTTATATTTTTAGTAGAGACGGGGTTTCACCATGTTGACCAGTTGGTCTCGATCTCTTGACCTTGTGATCCACCCGCCTTGGCCTCCCAAAGTGCTGGGATTACAGGCGTGAGCCACCGCGCCCGGCTGCAAACGGTGAACGCGGACCGCTCGGTGCTTCCCACTCTTCCTGTCCTTGCTCTTCCTGTCCTTGCGCCCCTCCCTCTGCTTGCACCTTCATTCCCAGCCCAGCCTCGCATTTCTAAGTGTGCTCCCCAGACGGCTCGGCTCAGCTCAGCCCACAAAGGAATCCCGCAATGCTGAACACAAATGGATGCGTCCTGGCGTTTGGAACACACTGTATTTAGCAGGTTTCTGATTTGGAGGTAAAGAGCGAATGTCACATTTTCTTTTCATTTTCATGCTAAGATGACAGAGACAAAGGCCTAGTCTAGAAATTATAACTCCTGTCTCATGATTAGCCCCTGGCTTCCCAAATTAATGCAAGCATAGAAGAGGCATTATCATGAGGAGCAGCCGATGGGTGCAGGCGCCCAGATAGAATGCGGGCACCGGCAGAAAAGAGCACAAGCTTGTAAGCAACTGCTCAGCTGCTTCTCACTGCGCCTCCTGGGGCGGGTCAATTTATTTCTGGTTCCTTCCCGTTAGACATGATTAGCTGGTTGAGGGGCTCATCAAGATGAAGGGTCCTGGCATTGCCGTCCGCCCCTGTCTGGGGGAGGGTTCTTGGAAGGCACTGGGAAGAGCTGAACACATCACCCTGGGTGAAGATGTTATGTACATTCCTAACATGGTGCTGACTGTACAGTGGCCAACTTGTCCTGGTTTGCCTGGGACAGTCCTGGTTTTAAAACAGAAAGTCTCGCATCCCTGAAGCCCACTCAGCTGCAAACCAGGAGAGTTGGTCGCCCTGTTTGGTTGGCACAACCCCGCTAGCCACTGAGAGCAAAACAGCCCAGTTCCTCTCCGCTCCTGGCTTTTCCAGCAGTCTCTCCCTGACGCCAGCTTTCTTTCAATCTTTCCCTCCTAGGTCATTCAAGGGCTCCCCCTCTTGGAGTTCCCAGGACTCTGTCACTCCAGGAGCCTTAGAGCATCCCCACTCTTTATTTGGACTCCCTTTGTGGACTCCTCATTCTGACTTTTCCTCTCAATCTCTGTACCCTGCCGCTACACACACAAACACACACTCACATATACACATGCACACACACGTGTACACTCATGTACTCACACTGTCATACACAGGCACATATGCATGCACACATTCACACACACATGCACACACGTGCTTACACACATGTGGGATGCATGCACAAAGCTATGTCCACACTCACTGCCTCTCACCACAGACCTCCTCCCGTGTCCCCTCTGCTGAAGGCCTCCCTGGGGCCTGAGCCTCCCTCCCGGCTTCGGGCTGGACACCCAGTCCTGGTCTAGTTCACTCCTGGTCAGTGCCCAGCAGTTGCAGCCCCCTTCCTCCCTCACTAAAGCTGAGCTCTGGAAGGGGAAGGAGCTGCCCTCCGCCTCTGTGCCCCGCACCGCAGAAGCCTAGCCGAGTTCCTGGCACGAATCCAGAGCTCAGTGCATGCCCGTGGAACTGATACATCGGCCCTGAAATCATGGGCTTCTCCCACAGGCTTGCAGGGACGTTCCACCGTTGCCCGGGCCTCCTCTCACCTGGGGACACCCGCTCCTTCTCTGCCTGCATGCAGTGGATTCCCTCCACACCCGTGGATGAGCGGGAGCCACCCCCTCCAGCACACGTTGCAGGAGAACCGCGTGCTTCCTGCCACCCTGGGAACTGGCTGCCCACCCGGCAGTGGGATCCCACTTAGAGGCGCCCCTCCCCCTGAACACACACACACAAGCCCGCCCTCTACCCTTGTTTCTCACCTTTGGCCAGATCTGGAGGGCTGGGGCGCCTCCCCGGATGTCACTAGGTGGCGCCATGTGGCAGTCCCTGGGCCCCGCGGGGGCTGGATGGGGCCAGCAGCCCAACCCGGAGCTGCGAATCCACAGATGGGGATTCCCACCCTGGAGGCCGAGGGATCTGTGACAGGCCCGTCTTCGTAGGTCTGGTCTCCGCTGTATGCCCTCGAAAAGATAATGTGGGGTACGAAGCAAAGGTGCTAAAAGCCCCTGGCAGAGGAAAAAGAAGAAAATCATCGCCGCAGCACTGCGAAATGAAGGCTGTGCAGGGCCGCGATCCAGTCCTTCGCTTACACCAGTTACCTGTGCACCTGACCCGCAAGGTGGTTATGATTCTTTCATCAGTGAGAACCATTGTTTTTCTGGGGCAACTTATTATTTTAATAAAAACGAGTGGATTGCCCATGACTAGAAAGATCCTACATTGCCTTCAGGGCTGGGGTTTATCGTTGCTGTGTGTTTATTTGTGGAATCTAGGCTGCACGTTTCAAATCGGGCCATCAGTCTTCATCTCTCTTGCTGCTGTTCTTTGTCGTGGGAAACACACAGACCATGAGGTTCATATTTGGTGAGGTTGTTAATAGCAAAAGTGTTCTACTTCGTGCCTCTGAGCTCACCGCCTCGTAGGCTGTGAGAGGGGGAAGCAGCACATTAAATTAGCCAACGAGGCTGAATTGGGATGTGTTGTGATCATCACCATGGACAGATAAGGAACAAAAAGAGAAAGTTAGAGATGCAGTCAGTGAGCGAAACCTTCCCGTGGAAAAACACGAGCCACAGCTGGAGAAGGAGGGACGAGGGATTCGGGAAACTCAGGAAACGGAGAAACGTGGAAAGCCGCAGTGCGAGGGGGCGATTTACGGGGTGAGAGCAGATGGCTGTGCAATGTGATATGACAGCTAAGCAAGCGCACGCAGGCTCAGCCCTCACGACCCACGCTGCCCGGCCCCGCCACCGGGGGCATCTGTGGACCAGACCGCTGCCACCTAGTGAGCATCTATTGCGTGTCAAGGATTTAGCACACAGTCATGGCATCCCCACAGACCCTACAAGGAGGCCAGGACCAGCAGGGAGGCCGCAGCTCAGAGAAGTCAAAGAGCCAGGATCCCAGAGCTGGAAATTTAACGCAATCTAACTGCACCAACCCAGTTCCAGGCTCGTTAGTGCTCTGTGTCCGGCCACACTTCGTGAGTGAGGATGTGATGCAGTGACCTCTAGCATTGCAGAGTGGAAGTGGCCCAGGCAGCGGGAGGCAGATGATCTGGGTTCCAATCCCAGCCCTGCCTTGCACTAGCTGTGTGACTCTGACTGTCACTTAACCTCTCTGAGCCGTAATCCTTTCAACTATAAAATGGTGGAAACGGTATCATCCCCACTGGGATGTTACATGGTTAATTGCACGTTGGTGTCAGCTCTGGTGAACTGCTTGGCTCACTAAACACATGATACTGTTACTAGTCTTGGGAGCCAACCTGTAAATTGCTGGTAGCTTAGCAGTCTTGAGTCTACATATTCATCATGACCAGCCTATTCTACCTTCTGCATTTGAAATATTAAATATTTTTGTAATATTGAAACCTGCTTAGCAAGAACGCACCGTGCATCCTTGGAGAGGTCGTAGGATGAGTGGCTTCTGCGGTGCATGGCTAGGCTTGTGCTTGCTGGCTGCAGCTTCCGTGGGATTTGCAAAGCTTTCTCTTAGCCCTCTATTTCATAGCAAGTGAGCATCTGTAGTCTTAAGAAAATTTGGTTTCGAAGAAAAGAGGGGTGATGGGAAGTGATGGTTCTGGAACCCAGCCCAAAGGAAGAGTGGGTGAGGAAAATGAAGACCTGCAGAACCTGGACCAGGGGAGCGAAGGTGCCATCTTCCAGTGTGCGCAGTAATGGAGGAGAGGAGGCTGGCCCGGAGCTGCTCCCAAGGGCAGGGCTAGGAGGAAGAACAGCAGGGTGGGCTGCATGGGGGAGGGTGTTGGGATGTGCTGAGGGGGCCCCTCTGGGCTCCAGCTGCTTTGCTAGGAAAGGTAGTGATGAGACAGATGCTGTTTCTCGATGAGGCTCTGTCAACTGGATAGCCCGCCATTCAATTCAATGCTGACACCAATACCTGGAGTGAGTGTGGGCCTCACAGGTCAAGGGGCTCCATCCCACAAGGCAGCCCCCACTCAGATGCCAGCCACAAGTCCCGGGTCTCCAGGCTACCGGCACCTGTGTTTGATTTGGCTACATTCGACAGGTCACATGACCCTACTTCAGGTTTGATCATTCACTAGGACAAATCACAGAACTCAAGAAAGCCGGTGTGTTTAAGATGACTGTTTTATTGTGTTGGATGCCCCTTGGGAATCACCATATAGAGAGGCACGTGGGAAAGGAAGCATGGGAAGGGAGGTGTGCAGAGCTTCCGGGAGGGGCTCTAGAACCTCATTCCCTGTGGGCTTCACGTGGGGTTTCTTTGTGCAGATGTGAATGAGGAAATCACAGGTCAGGTGATTGGACTCAATCTCTAACCCCTCTCCCCTCCTGTGGTCTGATTCCTCTGGTGGCCAGCCCCCACCCTGAAGCTGTCTAGGCCCCAACCCCAGAACCCATCTCAGTAGCATTAACTCAGGTGTGGGAGAAAGTAAGTCCTTATGAATGAAAAGCAAGAGACGTTCCTATCGCTCGGGAAATTGTACTGGTTTTAGGAGCACTGGGTTACAAACCTGAGACAAAGACCAGATACATTTTTGATGACATGGCAGGTACACTTTAACATCCCTGCTGCCACTAACTTACTATATTTAGTGGCTCTAAAACTGATTTTGGGATACAATTCAACCCCATGTAGGAAAACAACTTGCTAACCAGAGTGCTTAGCCATTGAATAGGCTGCTGTCCAGGGTCTGAGCTGCCTGAAGCAGGAAGTGCCCCAGCGGAGGCTGGGTGGCTCAGTCAGAGTGCAGGGGGGGAAAGACCCCCGTGGAGTGGTAGCGTGGAGCAGATGCCCACTCAGTGCCACGGTCGGGACGTCAGGACGCAGTGTCATGTGACTGCCTTGCTTGGTTTCAGAATCGAGAGATGCTTCCATTTTGGATGAATAGCACCGGCAAGCGGGAAGGCTGGCAGCGTGGATGGCACGGCTATGACAACGAACTCATGGACATGCGGGGCATCTTCCTGGCCTTCGGACCTGGTAGGCAAGGAACCGACCCAATGCTCTCAGGCCCCGTTCCCAAGGAAGTGTCTGTAAGGGGGGCCTCGGGTGCCGGGAGAGGCTGCAGGGATTTCCTTCCAGACCCTCTTTATGAGCCAAGCAGAGCAAACCCAGCCGGTCTCCATGAAACAGCTTTTGCTGGCTTCCTTTCAAATGCTTCTTGGGTTTGGCAAATGTGGCCAAATACTTTTCCTTGTAAATTTTAAATCCTGAGTGCAGGGAAGAAAATGTATTCCACATGTTTGTGATTCATTTTTTACCTAATTCATCAAAATGTTATTTCACAGCTATCAGGCGTCCAGGAAAGCTTATGGGACACCAGGTTGCTGACAACTGTGAGTCTCACAGTTGATGCGATCGCTTCTTGGGGTCTGGCTCTTCCACGGGCCTTCCCATCTAGAGCACCCACCTCAGGGAGACTCAGTTAGTTTAGGGTCCGACCAGAAGCTGGGATGTGCTCAAGGGCAGGTATGGAAGTGACCCTGAGCCTGACTTTAAGAATGAATGAGCCAGAATGACGAGGGATGCTTTGGATGAGAGCAAATTTGCTGTGTCTTCCTTGACCAGATTAATTCCTAGGGCTGGGGGAGGGGGGCAGACGGGGAGGGCGTATCTGCCATTTGATTTAACAGATGGATCCCTGTCAAGTCATACTTTGGAAAACTTTGCCAAACACTCTGAAGATCTTACTACTACCTGAGCACCCTCTTCTCCCAAAAACAGAAATTAAAAAGGGAAGAAAAGCTTTCAACAGCCCTCAACCCTCAGCTGACTGGTTCATGAGCTCTCCTTTCTTAACACTGTCCCTCCTCCTGTACTAAATAGGAGCAGCGTATACCCTGATACCTGTATTCTGAATGCCTTTTTCTAGATGTAGATCAAAATGTTTCAGCCTATAAAAGTCCATGTTTTCAGTCCAGTGTGATGGCTCACGCCTGTAATCACATCAGTTTGGGAGGCTGAGGCCGGCAGATCGCGAGGTCAGGGGTTCCAGACCAGCCTGACCAACATGGTGAAACCCCATCTCTACTTAACAAAAATTAGCTGGGCGTGGTGGCGCACACCTGTAATCCCAGCTACTTGGGAGGCTGAGGCAGGAGAACTGCTTGAACCTGGGAGGCAAAGATTACGGTGAGCAGAGGGCATGCCATTGCACTCCAGCCTGGGCGACAGAGTGAGACTCCATTTCAAAAAAAAAAAAAGTTCGCGCTTTCCTTTCATGTTATAGGTTAGATGTCACAACTCCAAGCTCTGCTCATCTCTTCAATGTAGTGAGATCAAGGACGTACATGAGCATCCCTCCTCCAGCCTCCCACGGTGACTCTACTTTTCACAAAATCCCGGTTAAGAACGATAAGATGTCAGTTTCTGCCACCTCCATGGGTGCCTGAACTTAGAAAGACATTACTACAAATCCCTTTCCATATGTGAGCCAGGTTCCTAAGTCCTCAAGGGAGCATTAGAAGCAGTAGGAGCAAATTCACGGAGCACCAATAGCGTTCATGATGTGGGCCTAGGAGAGGGTTCTGAAGATGCCCGAGCGTGTTGTCTTTCACCAGTAATAGTTATGAGGAGCTTCCTGTCAGCTGAGCCCCAGGTCAGATACACAGAGCCCAAAAGCTAAAGGAATTAGGAACGGAGCACGCTGAGGGTCACTGCTAGGCTACACTGGATACATTCCAGGGCCGTGGTGTTTCTCTGGGAGAACATTAGTCAGCAAGGCTTTCATTCAAAAGCATCACACTCTCCATTCCCAGAGGAGGGAAATAAGATCATGAATGCAAACCAGTTGTCTGCTGAAGGACTATATACAAATGAGAGTCTCAGGAGTATTTTAAAGCAGAACCAAACCCAAAACCCCAAATTTTAAACAAGGTACCCAAAGCTCATTAGCTTAAAGTTAAAATTCAGTGGAGAGAGTCTGTCCATTAACAGAGGCTTCCATCATTGACTAAAAGCTCCCTGTCTTTTATAGACAGATAGATGACCCCTGATGAAAATGGACTGGGCTAATTGCAAAATGTTTTCAGGCAGATACAGCATGGGGAGAGCCTCCCGCAAACCATCACGTTCTGGCTCCAATTCTCATGAAAGATTAAACAGCTTTGCATACTGGCTGTTTACTGAGAAGAAAATTTAAGAGCAAGGCCTTTAACAGCTATGTAGCTGCACTTTGAGATAAAGGTGCATCCCTCCTGATTAACTGCATGTGCTTCTTGCTTAGGGAGAAAGTGGGCATCACTGCGGCAGCGCAGATGCAGCCTTAGCAGTCAGTGAGCCTGGTCCAGCAAAGAGAAGGGGAAGTAATTCTGCAGGAGAGCCTCTCTCTGCTTAATCCCAGTTTCTAATTTGAACAGTCTAATCTTGTCCTGGAGAACTCCACGTTCAAGATAAGACAGCAGGAGTGAGTCAGGGAGCCTGTGAGCTAGCAAGCATCACTGGGAAAGCAGCCCCAGGTGGCCAGGCACGGGTAAGTCTGCAGAATCTCCTCTCTGTAAGAGACCCATTTTTAATATCCAAAGAAATGTAAATGCACGAGGATAACTTGGATTCCCAGTCCGTGTCTGAAACGCCATTCTGAGGTAGTAGAGCCTGTCTGGGTCCTCAGTTGGATCAGGCATTGCTTTGCTATTCAGGAATTCTCTAGAAACTTTCATTCCAGCCTGGATCATTTCTGCATTGAGCCCAAAGCACCATCCCTGCAGAACAGGAGGTCATGAACTACATGGGATGGGAAAGAAATCCCAGTTCTCCTTTCTGCTAAAATGCAGAGAATTTGATTTCATATTTTCAATGTAAAAAGATAACATTTTCTAATACTTTTGTCAGAAGAATTTGATCTCAGTTTTTCCTGTGAAGTGTTAAAAAAGAGAATTTTTGTTTTGTTTTGTTTTTTATAGACAGGGTCTCACTGTGTCACCGAGGCTGGGGTGCAGTGGCGTGATGGCTTACTTGTAGCCTCCATCTCCTGGGTTCAAGAGATTCTCCTGCCTCAGCCTCCTGAGTAGCTGGGACTGCAGACACATACCACTAGCTGCTTTTTTATTTTTGTAGAGTTGAGGTCTTGCTATATTTCCCAGGCTGGTCTCGCACTCCTCAGCCTCAAGCCATCCTCCCGCCTCAGCCTCCCAAAGTGCTGGGATTCCAGGTGTGAGCCCTACTGCCCATCCAGAAGTGGACATTTGAAAGGCTGGGAGACACCTGGGCTTACTGTCGTCCACTGCCTCGTGTGCCCTCCCACCCACACACGGCAAGGCATGGCCCCATGTGGTGGCAGTAGGATTAGTACATCCAGGCCACATGAAAAGGAGACAGAAGAGTTGCTTCCATATCGTTGGAACAACCATTCCACTGACGTCTTCTGCTTCAGCTGATTCCTCAGAAAGGGAAGCGTAACCACCATCCTCATCTGACTGATTTGCCTCGATACGGAGAGGGCTGGCGTACTGGGCAGCCCTTACTTCTTCCTCTCTGGGCAGGTTATATATATATATATATATATATATATATATATATATATACACACAGACATATATATTTTATGTGTGTGTATGTGTGTATATATATAAACAGACATATTTTATGTGTGTGTATGTATATATATATATATATATAAACACAGACATATATATCTTATGTGTATGTGTATATATATACATATATAAACACATATATATTTTATGTGTGTATATGTATATATATATAAACACAGACATATTTTATGTGTGTATGTATATATATATATAAACACAGACATATATATTTTGTGTATGTATATATATACATATATAAACAGACATATATATTTTTTTTGTGTGTGTATATATATATATTACATATATATATGTATATACTTTTTTTTTTTTGAGACGGAGTCTTGCTCTGTCACCCAGGCTGGAGTGCAACAGCTCGATCTCGGCTCACTGCAACCTCTGCCTCCCAGGTTCAAGTGATTCTCCTGCCTCAGCCTCCTGAATAGCTGAGATTACAGGCACCTGCCGCCATGCTGGCTAATTTTTGTATTTTTTTGTGGAGACGGGGTTCCATCATGCTGGCCAGGGTGGTCTTGAACTACCACGTTCAGGTGATTTGCCCACCTCAGCCTTCCAAAGTGCTGGGATTACAGGCGTGAGCCACCGCACCCGGCCAGGTTTTACATTTTTGAAAACTAATTTTTACTCTGAAAAGAAGCTGACCCTTATCCTCCATGCCCCTGAAGAAAAGTGAAACCTTCAAATAATTTACCAAGTGAATATATTCAAACCATGGTTTGCCCTTGTCATACACATTAATAAATACGAGCAGTGACCATTTACTGAGTGTACAAAACGCGCCCGGAACGATGACTTTCCAGGCCTGTTTCCTGAGGTCACAGCTAGCGCATGCAGGGGAGCAGGCTGGTGCCGGAGCCCACACACCTCTTTATAGTGCATTCAACTTTAATTCTGCAAAGGGAGCAAAGCCTGTCACGTGGGCAGTTGCCCTGGATCTAACATACTGTGTGGCAGAGGTATCTGTATTTAACTTTTTTCCAATTTGTAATTCTAGGATGAATAGAGGAGAATTTGGTGTGGCTGCCTCTGGAATATATTGCTGTGTGTTGCTGTTTGTTTGCTTTTTAACTAAAGTATTTATGATTTAGCAAAGCAAATTATAAAGACTATTTTCTAATATCTTAGAGAACTTGGCTTTGCAGCCCCCTGAACAACTCATTTCCTTTAAAACTTGCAGGAGAACTAAAACACATAGGCAAAAGCCTTTATCAGTGGCTAAAATCTCCCTCAATTCAACCTTAATGGAGCACTGGGTATTTTGTTGGAAGCTCTGGTTTGGGGCCTAGAAGAGAGGTTGTGTATGTATATTACTAAGATCTTGCAGTCGCTCTTTAAAGGATAAGTGCTTTGAATTCCGCCTCTTGTTTGCCCCTGTAGAGAAGGAGGCAGTGCACTTGACTGAAACCCCTCCACAGGCTTGTGGTGTCACCCTTGGTGCCCCTTGCTTACCGCGCTGTGGCCACCCTCCCTGTGGGCTCCTGGATGACTCTGGAGCTTGGGGGCTGCTCTGGGCAGAGGCATGGCGGTCTTCTCCATTAGATCTCTCAGAGCCTTCACACGGATCCCTGATTCAGCTCTCAGACTATTTTCCACATGGCTAATTTATTTTATCTATTGATGAAATGCTCCCAAGGAGAGTTCCGCTGATCTTCAACAGGTATTTAGGAAACCGTCGCCAGGGCTGCTGAGCTAGCCAGCACCGAGAAAAGGGCACAGTTTCACATTCCATCAAGACCTGTGACCTCGATGGGGCAGCAAAGTGAGAAACATTCTTGAGCCGTCCTTCAGCCTCTGCAGGAGACGCTGGTACTCTGGCCATCAGCGCGGGCTAGACAGATGTTCTGGAAGATGAGCATGGCATTTCATTTGGTTAAGGGCAAGACAGTCACTCTGTGACCATACAGGCTCTACTGTGCTCTGTAGACATGGAGCGGCAGCATATGGCCCTTCAGTGTCTCCCCAGTACCCCAAAGGAGGTGCTGTTGTCACAAAGAGAGCACAGTTATGCACACAGAAAGACTGCTGATTTTCTTTTATTTGAGACGGGATCTCACTCTCTTGCCCAGGCTGGAGGATAGCAGCACCATCTTGGCTCACTGCAGCCTTGAACTCCTGGCCCTAAGTGATCTTCTTGCCTCAGCCTTCTGAGTAGCTGGGACTACACGTGCGCACCACCATGCCTGGTTTAAAACAGTTTTTTTTAAGAGAGTCTTTCTCTGTCATCCACGCTGCTCTCAAACTCCTGGGCTCAGGCAATCCTCCCTCCTCGGCCTCCCAGCTTGCTGAGACTACAGGTGTGAGCCCTGAAGCCTGGCTCTGCTACTTGTCTTTTAAAGAAATTCATCTCCATGAGCCACAGAAAGCTATTTTCCCTTCTAACTCACCGCCTTCTGGATGCTCATCCACGTTCACACTCACCAGGCCCATACCCCACTGCTGGAGCCGATTCCCTCATCTCCAGGTCACCTGCAGCCTGAATGTCATTCCTCCTTATTGCGCTCAGCCCACCTCTGCCCTGGAGCCGCCACGACAGCTTGTTTCCCTTTCTTTTTCAGATTTCAAGTCCAACTTCAGAGCTGCTCCCATCAGATCGGTGGACGTCTACAACGTCATGTGCAACGTGATGGGCATCGCTCCGCTGCCGAACAACGGGTCCTGGTCCCGGGTGATGTGCATGCTGAAGGGAAGCGCAGGCGCCACCCCGCCCACCCAGCCGAGCCACTGCGCCCTGGCCCTGATTCTTCTCTTCTTGCTTGCATAACTGATTGTATTGCTTGTCCCCGCCCCCCACCCACAAAAAAAACACCATCTGCAAAGCAGGCCTCCAAAGCAGAATGATTTTCATTTCGTGTGTGAATAATAGCTTCATTAACACAATCAAGGCCATGCAAACTGTAAATATATTACTCTTGGATAATTCTATACATAAAAGTTCCTACTTGTTAAAAAAGATACAAACTTTGTTTTTCCAGAAGGTAGGAAAAGCTCAGCTTTCCATTTCTTCCGTTATATGTCATTTTCTCCTTTCTTTTCACGTTACTCAGGACGAACTCTCTGAGCAGGGGTCTGCTCCTCAGCAGCCAAACTTGGAGCGGATATTGCAGACAGAGGTGGCTCTGGGTCCCTCTCGGTCCCATCTTGCACAAAGCAGCTCCTCAGACCAGGCCCTTGTGTGTGCCCTGTCGACACCCAGGGGCCACCCTCAGGGTCTGTGGCCACGATCCTGTAATGTTCCTTCCATCCCAGCTAAAAGGAGGTCCACACAAAAGCGAAAGCTACTGTCTATTTCTGACCCAGCTCGTGGAATTTTTTCATCTTATACTGAGTCCCAGAAAGGACATAACTTAGCATGGATTACCAATCAATCCAAAAATCAGTACATCACTAAGGACTGGAGAACTCATAGAACAAGGTGAAATACAAGGGTCCCCTCCCAAAAGTCTGCGTGCACGAGAATTTCTCCCTTCCCTTGAGGAGCAGTAAAGCTTCTGATGGACACGGGCTTCTGTGAGACTGATCACACACGGTACATCATGGCATGAAGCCTGGCACATAGCTGGCCCTGCATGATGGACTGATGGATGGCCTGCCTGCCTGCCTGCCCGCCCATCCACCTGGGCAAAGCCTTCCTCAGACACTTCCGCTCTGTGGCTCCCAATACAGGGTGTAGACAAGAGTAATCCCTGACATGTCATTATGGGCTGGGACAGGGATAGCTTGCTGATGAGAATGTGGAGGCATCAGTAAGGATCTCAGCTGGCTGCTGAAGGGTGATGCACTTTAGCTCAGTCCTGGGCACACGGCTTGCTCAACAGCAAAGTGGTGCTGGGTGGAGAATGAGCAGAATCCAACATAATGGAGCAGAATCCCAGTCACCGACCAACTAACGGGTCATGTGATTAGGAAACAGTTTGGCCAAAATGCCACCTCCGGGACCTAAGTTCTTTTGATGCCCTTAAGAAAAGCCATGGAGCCTGAGTTGAAATATTTTTAGCTTAGTCATCTATGTTTGCTATAGAACTTGTAACACAAGAGATAACTGCCTTTTTACATGATCAGTCACTTATATTTATATACATACATGCGTATATATATATATATATATATATATATACATGCATACACTATTATTGCATTAAAAATGAATTTTGGCTGGGCATGGTGGCGCACACCTGTAATCCCAACACTGGGAGGCCAAGGAAGGATGATCCCTTGAGGTCAGGAGTTCCAGACTACCTTGGGCAACACAGGGAAACCCCCATCTCTACAAAACATAAAAGATTTTTTAAAAATTAACCAGGCATGGTGGCACATGCTTGTGGTCTCAACTACTTGGGAGGTGGAAGCAGGAGGATCACTTGAGTCCAGGAGGTCAAGGCTGCAGTGAGCTGTGACTGCACCACGGCACTCCAGCCTGGGCAACAGAGCAAGACCCCAGCCCCCTACAAAAAAAAGTTTGCACTAAATGAGATACATCTGCAAGTGAGACTTTTTGTCAAGAGAAGGCAATATGTTAGATCTCCTCAGGACGACAGAAGCCTTACATGGTGTGTTACCTTAAAAACTGAATATCAACATTCACCCTGATTCAGGAAGGCTGGGGTGTGTCTTCATGCCATGAATCATGAGAGCAAAGGATCACTGCTTAAAAATACTGAATTTGCCTCCACAAAAGATTTCTAAGGATTTATGTAATGTGCTTTAAAAGTGCCAGCAAACCATCGGATCAATTGGGAAGAAGGCAACTCCTCAGCTTTTGCTATCCGGCTGAAAACAAATGAGTACTTTCAAAACATTGGCAGTAGTTGTTGAAAAAGACATCTATTGTTCAAAGTTTCTTTCTCCTTAAAAGACGGTGTTCCAATGAATTCAGGGGAACCCACTTTCCTCCACTGTGAAGGAAGAATCCCTAAGAGATATTCAGATGATTAAATTAATGGTGGATCATCAAATTCAAGAGAGGCATAAACTTAGACACTGTCTTATGTTTTTGTCTTTCCTGAACTCTTCTGCCATTTTCCTGCTTCACTCATCCTGAAAATCTGCAAGTTACATAATAAAACTTTAGGTATTTGTCTGACAAAGTGTAATTACTCAACTGAATAAATGAATGAGAATAAGATACAAAAAAAAATCATGAGTCCTGGTAAACAATAAAGAAAATTCAGACACTGAGGGGGAAGAAAAAGATTTTTGCTTAAAATAATGTGGACATTTTTGATGGCTTCATTATGTGGTGAAAATTTGTTCCCTTTCATTTTTGTTTTAAAATTACATTGTTCTCCTCAGAAAAAATCCACTTTCTCTAAATGTGTTTTTTTCCATAGGAGTAAAATCTGCTAGGAATATGTATAGATACCTTTTTCCTGGATTGCATTTTGAATTCACTGCTGATTCCCTGACAAAGATAATTGGGTTGACCTACTGAGGACAAATGAAAAAAATGAGCCCCAGATTAAAGATGAGGCTTTAATTCAATGTTAATAATTGTCATTCTGACTGGTATGAGATGATATCTCACTGTGGTTTTAATCTGCATTTCTCTAATGATCAATGATGATGAACTTTTTTTCATATGTTTGTTGGCTGTATAAGTGTCTTCTTTTGAGAAGTGTCTGTTCATATCCTTTGCCCACTTTTTGATGGGATGGGGTTGTTTTTTTCTTGTAAATTTGTTTAAGTTCCTTGTAGATTTTGACATTAGACCTTTGTCAGATAGGTAGATTGCAGAAATTTTCTCCCATTCTGATACTATTCTGATGATAGTTTCTTTTGCTCTGCAGAAGCTCTTTAGTTTAATTAGATCCCATCTGTCAATTTTGGCTTGTCATTGCTTTTGGTGTTTTAGTCATGAAGTCTTTGCCCATGCCTATGTCCTGAATAGTATTGCCTAGGTTTTCTTCTAGTTTTTTTTATAGTTTTGGGGTTTATATTTAAGTATTTAATTCAACTCCAGTTAATTTTTGTATAAGGTGTAAGGAAGGGGTCCAGTTTCAGTTTTCTGCATATGGCTAGCCAGTTTTCCCAGTACCATTTCTTAAGTAGGGAATCTTTTCCCCATAGCATGTTTTTATCTGGTTTGTTGAAGATCAGATGGTTGTAGATGTGTGGTGTTGTTTCTGAGGTCTCTTTTCTGTTCCATTGGTGTATATACCTGTTTTGGTACCAGTACCATGCTGTTTTGGTTACTGTAGCCTTGTAGTATAGTTTGCAGTCAGATGCCTCCAGCTTTGTTCTTTTTGCTTAGGATTGTCTTGGCTACATGGGCTCTTTTGAGCCATTATTAAAAAGTCAGGAAACAATAGATGCTGGCGAGGCTGTGGAGAAATAGGAACACTTTTACACCGTTAGTAGGAGTGTAAATTAGTTCAACCATTGTGGAAGACAGTGTGGCAATTCCTAAAGGATCTAGAACCAGAAATGCCATTTGCCCCAGCAATCCCATTACTGGGCATATACCCAAAGAATTATAAATCATTGTACTATAAAGACACATTCACACATATCTTTACTGCAGCACTAGTTACAATATCAAAAGCTTGGAACCAACTCAAATGCCCATCAATGATATATTGGATAAAGAAAATGTGGCACATATACACCATGGAATACTATGCAGCCTTAAAAAAAGAATGAGATCATGTCTTTTACAGGGACATGGATGAAGCTAGAAGCCATTGTTCGCAGCAAACTAACACAGGAAAACCAAACACCTCAAGTTTTCACTCAAAAGTGGGAGTTGAACAATGAAAATGCATGGACACAGGGAGGGGAACATCACACACTGAGGCCTGTCAGGGGGTCGGGGGCAAGGTGGGGGAGAGCATTAGGACAAATATCTAGTGCACGCAGGGATTAAAACCTAGATGATGGATTGATAGGTGGAGCAAACCACCATGGCATGTGTATGCTTACGTAACAAACCTGTACATTCTGCACGTGTCCCTGAACTTAAAGTAAAAATAAAAAATAATAATAGTAATAAAGAAATGAGTGGCCACTTTCCCTGTCCATATGCCTTATCTCTGGAATCAAATTCAATTAAGTTGTGAACCCCTAAGCACAAACTAGATCAGGCCCACGGGAATCCTACAACAGTCCTGGATTATGAGGTCCTAGTTTTTTTTGTTTCTTTTTTTACTTTTAAAGGCACCTTGGGAGTCCACCTCAGATCTGAGTTCATTGTAGACAGTAGTTTGCAAACTTTGTGGGCTTCAAAGTCTCATCTGACCCACCTCCAGAGATGCAGATTCAGAGGGGCTTGAGGTGGTCCTGAGACAGCACTTTGAAGTCACTTGGACTTAAGGCTCGAGTTTGCTCTGAGAAGAGGTGGGTTCTGACTCTATCCTGTAGACCCGAATCTCCTGGGAGCTATTTCACAATCAGCGCATATCTCTAGGGGCCATGAGGCTGACACCAGCCACTAACCTCAGTTGGGTCAAGTGTCCAACCCTCCTAAACCAAAGTATATCTGCAGCCCCAGTGGTGGAGGGAGGACCCACAAAAGGCGGACCCGGCTTCTCCACACCGCACTCCCTGTGGCTGTGAGATCCCCAATGGTGCTACAAGACACTCAGACATTGTTCAACACACACAGCTATGTTATGAATTTTCTAAGAAAGTGCTTTGCCTTTCTGTAAATAGCAAGAGATTTCCAAGTGTGATTGTGGGTTTTATCTTTGTAAGCAATTTGTGATAGGCCAAAGTCAGCTACTGTAAATGACTTGCTAGAAAAAAGGAAGGAGGCAGCCTCAATCGACTAGTTATAAAACATTCGAAACTTGCTCTCAGGTGTGTGCTATAGAAAATATACTTGTATGTTGCTCTGAAATCATAAATTGGCACCTAGTACAGCACCTCAGATGTTTAATACATGTCTCATAAATATGTGTTGGATAAAAAATGAATGTTATTAAGGAGACTTGCTTAAACCTCAGATATCCTCTCTGT